TTATTTTAATTAATCTTTTAATTCCAGACAGCAGCAGCAGCAACAGTACACGAGTTGAAGACTACAGCAGCCTTGAGATCGCCCTGATCATTGTAGTATCTATCTTGGCCGCCTTCTTGTTCAGTATGATAGTCGGAGTTGTCATCTTCAGCTGTCTACGCAGAAAGTCCAGCGACAGGGAAAGCTTTTCTACCAGTATGTAAACAAAGTAAGTCAAATAGATTCCTTCGGCAATTAGTTAGTTTACTGAAAGTTTGATTTTAAATAGGCATTAAAATACTTTATGGATTTACAACTATGTGTGTAGCTTAGCGCTTTCCCCACTTCTCAATATCTACTTGTTTTTTTTATATCTTATCTTATATAATACAGACGTTACTTCAAAAAAGAAGATGATTACGTCCTACGCGTCATGCATTTAGTCATGCATATTAACCAATGACCTAAACTCCGCCAGGTCACTGGTTTTCCTGGCTAGTTCAGGCAACCCATTCCATGCTCTAATAGCGCTAGAGAAGAAGGAGTATTTGTACAAATTTGTCCTAGCATATGGAACGAAGAATGTGCCTTTATCTTTGTGTCTTTCAGAGTATTTTATTAAATTTTGTTTTTGTATTTGAAGATTATGATGAAGATTATAGAACTTCGTAAATAGAAGATCCTTTTAAAGTCAGAAATGTTTCATGGAGAGAAAGAATTTGTAAGTTAACCTAATGCAAACCTAAGAAATGAGAGACATCACATTTACGACATAAAAACCCAAGAATTGGGAGACAATACCTTCACGCTGGCAGAAGAAAAACGCCAGAGAAAAAAAAACAAGGCCAATGACACTAGCTCCAGCTGGAATAACCGTTTGATTGTCGTCTGAGCTGAGCCGAAGGCTCTTCGAGCTCAAAGTTTGAAAAGAAAAAAACCTGTTAGGTCGTCCAGCCGTAACAGTAAAAAAAGAAAAACAAACCTGTGGGAACACAGTTCTGTTTGAGAGCGACCCGAGTCAATGCCTATATAAAGCATTGCTGTATCCAATGTCTTCGGCCTCCGACACATGGCCGAAGGCCTAGGAGCACTGGGAGCCTCCGTCATCTTCCTTCTTTGTACCAAGCTAACCGTGGGGGACTCGCCATTTATGGAACGGTCCTTTGAGGAAAGGCGCATGGATGTGTGACAGTTTTTTGTGAGGACTTTTTTACAACCCCGCCCGTGCAAGGGGTGGACTCTCGTCTACCCGTGGGCTTCCCCACGGGAGTTATGTTTTGCCATTCATTTTGCCTAGCTATCTCCTCAAATAGCCGTTTCCACCCGGGTGCCACGATGAGGCAGAACAGCGAACCCGGGGCTGGAATAACCTGCCCAGTGTGCAGCCGAACATTCCGGGCTCACTTAAGTCTCACCAGCCACATGAGGAGGCATAAAACCCCAGTGCAAACCCCTCAGCCCCCTGGATGGCAAAGTGATCATCATCGAACCTCGATGGACGAACTCTATATGTGTATATATAGGTCATATATATAATATATATTCTAGCCGAATCTGACCCGGAGCTTGCTGGTAACCCGATTTGTAAAAGAGTTTTGCTCTTCAATAGAGATAAATTTAGGTCTTTTCTTTTAATTTTAGCCCCCCCCCCCCTTCCCCGTTCTGGCTGTGGGAGGGACATAAAACATATACTACAGTCTCCGCCATGATCTAAGAAACATTTATGCCAGGTTTTATAAAGATTGGTCAAACGGTTAAAATTTCTATGCAAGACATGCATACATACATACGCCTTACTTTATGCTTTATAGTATAGATATATACAACATATTTACATTAAGGTGTGGATTATATTATTTAAATAAATGTGCTTATTAATTAATTAGTAAGTTATTCCCAAATTAGAAGCTAGTTTAATGTGCAAAATGAACGAGGAAAATCAAAGCAGAATTCTCTAACCATCATTAATAACTTTCATAGTATAATATCGTAAGATGGGCATGCCCTTACCTAGCACAGGAAGTACCGTAATCTCTAGGCTTAGGTATAAATACAAAATCATTAAGCACAATTTACCGCCCTTTATATTCAAACAAATAAAAACCATGAATTTTTGTTAAAGGGATCGTCATAATGACCTTCTCAGAGTGTGGATAGAGATGTCATCACAGTGTCAACTGAAGCTCATTGATGTGGACATTGTCAAGATAGTAGAAGATACCTCTAATAAACCTTTACATACAAAACGCATACACTAGTCTTGATATTCACTGTGACTAGGAGTCAAAAAACTGCCTGGCTACTTATCAAACGGGGGGGGGGGGGGGGGGGGGGCCTCATGTTCGAATGCTAACTTGTGGCTTGCTGAGCACCTTTAGAACAGCACGGAAACTCCCCCCCCCCCCCCCGGTCCACATATGTGATATTTGAATATTGCATTAAGCATAACATGAAAACTGCGCTATATAAAAGCAATAAAAGGGAAAAAATAGGTCTTTCTTATCCGCATTAATTTGGCTACGAATAACAATAATTTTTGGTGGTTGTCTTAGTATTAGTTAAATCTAGATGTTTGTAAGTCACTGTTGTCCACTCACAGCCCTTAAGTGGCCACTTAACAGCCTCTTTGTTTATTGGGACTTAAGTACCTTTCTAAAAGTAGCTACCCCGCTCCTCCTCTCTCTTCTCAAGTTTATTTGAACTGAAACCAAACTGAAAACTCGTGTGGCACAGTGAGGCGTCAATGTTCAGTCATGTAGAACTAGGCGAAACTTTGTGGTGTGGCACAGTGAGGCGTCAAAGCTCAGTCATGTAGAACTAGGCGAAACTTGTGGTGTGGCACAGTAAGACGTCAAAGTTCAGTCATGTAGAACTAGGTGAAACCTTGTGGTGTGGCACAGTGAGGCGTCAATGTTCAGTCATGTAGAACTAGGCGAAACCTTGTGGTGCGGCACAGTGAGGCGTCAAAGTTCAGTCATGTAGAACTAGGCGAAACCTTGTGGTGCGGCACAGTGAGGCGTCAAAGTTCAGTCATGTAGAACTAGGCGAAACCTTGTGGTGCGGCACAGTGAGGCGTCAAAGTTCAGTCATGTAGAACTAGGCGAAACCTTGTGGTGCGGCACAGTGAGGCGTCAAAGTTCAGTCATGTAGAACTAGGCGAAACCTTGTGGTGCGGCACAGTGAGGCGTCAAAGTTCAGTCATGTAGAACTAGGCGAAACTTGTGGTGTGGCACAGTGAGGCGTCAAAGTTCAGTCATGTAGAACTAGGCGAAACCTTGTGGTGCGGCACAGTGAGGCGTCAAAGTTCAGTCATGTAGAACTAGGCGAAACTTGTGGTGTGGCACAGTGAGGCGTCAAAGTTCAGTCATGTAGAACTAGGCGAAACTTGTGATTCAAACTACAGCGCAGTAAAGAGAAATGAATGAAGCTTGTTAAAACAAACGTCCATTTGTGAATCATCTCCTAATTTACAATGAATTGAAATATACTCAAATATTGTTAGGATTCAGATTTCTAGCATCGCTCACCTCACTTCCTTTGTATTCCTTGCTATTGGTCAATGTGACAATTAATTGCTTGGATACAAAGGTTTCAGCTCGAACTTTCTTGACCGATTTGGACGTTTAACTCTGCGACGTCTTCAGTTGTATAATAAAGGTAAACGAAAACATAGAAAGAACATCGCAGACCAAACGCTAGATCTATGTCGCATATGGCTGTCTGGTAGTGTGATATGCACTTTGGACTGTCGTCTCGATGGTCCCGGGTTCGAACTCTGCGTCCTGCCGAAGGATTGGGCTATGAGTGTAATTCAATTCTGAGGAAATATCCGAACTAATACAAATGTACAGTATAAAGGTCATTGACAAGATACAATGATGTACAGAGAGAGTTTAGTTTCATGTCTATAGCTATTGTGTTAGCCAAATAATGTCATTATGTAAAGTCGACCTCATAAACTAAACTAGATCTATGTAGCGGAGGGACAATATCAGAGCAATACTAACGGTGTCATTTTTTTATTTTATTCCCTAGCGGAAGGCAGTAATGTCATAGCAACACTGACCAAGCTAATGTGATACAATGCTAAGTGTTGAAGATCTGAAATTCTTTCGATGCAGTTTACACATTGATTTGTGTCTATTCTTAGATTAAAACTTAGCAACCTACAAGATCTTCCAACTATTCTCCGGACTCCCCAAGACGTCAAGGAGTAGGTATACATGTAAATATCTTGCCTGATCTGTAAAACGAACTTCCCTATTACCAGACCATCTCCATGGTTTTAGGTTTCACGACAAATCGTATTTGATTAACTATTTTAATTAATTATATGCCAAATTGTGTTTTTTTTCCTGTGTATATTTACATTTAATACGTTGATGTGGAACTATGACCGTGAATATCTACGTGTTTCTCATAGATTGTACTAGTTGACACGTGTTGAAATTGTTAATGGGAAATACAAAATTTTTATAAGTAATTTTTATATCTAAATATAAAGAACAAAGTAAATTTGTATCTGACTAATCAATTTATTTTTTTAAACGGCTATATTTTTTTTTATTTCCTTATTTTGTCCTTTAAAAAAAAAAGCCAACAAATATCATTGCTTAGGGGGTTGAGAGTTTTTATAATTGTATTGATGTGCCAAAGTATAGGATGTGTTTGTGGGTGTATAAGATGGGTTGAATGGTTAAATTGTGGAATGGCGTGTGACTCGAACTGTTCCCATTGAGGATGTTTATCATATATATCGTATACTTGTGACCTAGTCTACAACTGACCTGGAAAAGATGTATATGTGTCAAAATAAATGGGGGAGGGGTGGAGCAAGTAATGATCACTTGTCTCAATAGGCTGCAGCTGGGGAGCTGTACAGCTGTAAAGAAGGGAGGGGCTTCAATCGTATTAAGACTTTTTGTGGACGAGGAAAGCAAACGTATGCTATCAAGGCAACCAGAAAGAAGTTTATGTTTTATGGTGCACTTCCAGGGCCTGTCTTAAGCATAGACAAACTAGGGGGGGGGGGGGGGCCTCGCACATAGACATATAGACTTTAAAAAATGTAGAGAAAAAATTGCGAAACTTGGATCAGATCTCATAGTAGAACACTGACTCTAGATTTACAAGTCTAAGACTGTATCTACTACTGAAATTGCGATAGATAATTTCAATTATTTGTCCACTTAGACACAGGCAGGTTTATAATAAATTGTGTCATTTTAGTTTATCGATACTTCTTTTTAGTTTTTGTAAATTTTATTTAGGGCAACCAAAATCACTGCACCTAGAGCCTCCTATTATCCAAAGCCGTCCCTGGCAGTTCCTTTGAAAATTGAAAAAAAAAATGACTCCGTTCAAATATATTTTTTTTTAAAACTTCTACATGTCTGAACCAATCACACCCTCAAACAATCCCTTTTTAATTTAAATCCTAAGACCGTTTATTTTAACAGTGACAGAGCATTGAAAAATTTGGCAGAGTCATTTACCCCTTTTGAAATGAATTTGTGGCTTGTTTAACAGAGTTTATTAGACTCATTTTATTTGGACCTACATAGGTGTAAAATGTTTACAAACTATATTCGTAAATTCGTAAATTTCAGTGATGATGTAAGGAATACTGAAGGGGAGATATTACTTAATTTGGTCAAGATTTGTTTATTTCAATGAAGATATCATTAATTCTGTTTGTCGCATGTCTAATAATATGTGTCTTCCATTTGTCTTGCGTCCTGTGTCTTGTATTCTACCTATAGGCTATAAATATAGCCCATTGTTTCAACAATAGAATTTCCATTAATAGTATTTTTACTTTTGTATCAGTGATTGTTCCATTAACGCAGTGTCTATAAACACGACAGTTAATGCGTTGTGTTAGGTGCTTTCATTCGTTGTATTTTCTTCCACTTGGTTTGAAATTTGCAAAAGTAAAAAATAAAGTTATTTTGTACAGTTGATCTTTTTTTTTTTCTTATTCATACGAGTAGAATGATTTTTTTTATTAGTTTTTGTATCCATACCTGTTTTTAATGTTTACTTTGTTCAAGTTTGGTCTAATATAAAAGTAGAACTACTTCCATTAGTCTAAAGTTAAATAGGTTTTGCCAAAATCATGTGATGACTACCTAAGAACAAATAAGGAAATAACTTAATCGTAAAGGTCAACCCTGAAACAATTCTCGTTGTATGGCCTTGTTTGTGACAATTTGATTCATTCCTGTGATTTAGACCAGGTAAACTCTTAAGTCTCTGTGACTCAAGATCAGCTGTTGGAGTTGCAAAGATAGGAAAACAAAGAAAGAGACGGTGCAGTATCCTGGTCAACTGCGCACTAGATATGAGTAAAGTCTTCCCATTTCTGTCCCAGAATGTTCATGTCAAGTCATTCAACCGAAGACCCAGTTTGCTTTTTACTCATAATAATAATAACAAACATTTTCTCTTTAGCTTTGACGTCGTTTAAAGGCAAATTTTGTTAGTGAAGTTTCCTAAATTAACCCATTATTGTCTGAACTGAAGCAAGTGTTTAGTTAAGTTTCCTAAATTAACCCATTGTTGTCTGAACTAAAGCAAGTGTTTAGTTAAGTTTCCTAAATTAACCCATTGTTGTCTAAACTGAAGCAAGCGGTTAAAAATGACTCAATTTTTTTAAAAGATTACCTACTCAGGCTGAAAAAAATATAGAAGTTCGAATCCTGGTGAAGACAAGGATTCTATTTTCGAGATCTCTGTGCGCCTCTGAATACACCCAGATTTTACCCCCTCCCTCTGCAATATATATATATATATATATTTACGAATCTCACTATCCAGGCTCTCTGTAAACTGCACCTTACACCACCAACTTAAAGAACTTGACAACTCAGGGCTCCAAAGTAACGTAACACTTTTATAGTTGAATAAATAACAGCCAATACTGTACAATTGGCAACACGTACACTGTACAAATATCTCTCCGATAACACCGTTCCGCCGTATAGACTCTTGCACTGGCCTCTCCGTCTCGTTCCGGGCTTGCACTGGGTTCAACAGTCCAGGACTGACTTCACACACTAGACTCGTTGTGTCGGACTCGATCGCAGACCAAGATCAAGACGCCAGTCGTCTCAACTGTACTTGACAGTACTCCGCACTGAACCGTCGTAATGTTCCGTACAGAAACACACCGTTAAACTGTGCTGTAGTTGACCGTGTTCTGAACCCCTGTCGTGAGCCCCTTTTCTCAACCGTCTTCACTGCGACACCTCCGCTCTTATATAGGGTCCTAATGGCCTTCTAGAACCGGACGGAACATCGCTCGACGTTTCTAGCTTCGTCACATGACTACATTCCTCGTGACGCTCCTGAGCTCTGTTCACGACGGCGATCCTTCCCGAACCGTCCTGTTGACACTCGACTCGGCTGACCGTCGCAACTCGTCACGGTTGACCGCTCGTCTAGAGCTGGCCTGGGGCGATTTGCGTCGGCTGACTATTCTCACACCACTACCCCCATCTGTGCCACCACCAGGTTTATAACAATATATATGTATATATATATATATATATTATAGTATATAGCCTTATCTGTGTCTTGCTGCTGTCAATTTTTTTAAAGTTGTTTGCATAAAAAAAATTTCTTTGGTCGCGACCAGACCGACCCATTTGGAACCGGCCCACCGGGCATTTGCCCGTTTGCCCATATAGCCAGTCCGCCCTTGTATCTAATAGCAAGAAGATTACCTCTCCGAGAGATATAGAGGAAATTCAACTTAATCATAACCTCAAGACAAAATTCCAAGGGTTAAAATTTAATCTTGAAATCATTTTGAAAAGGATATTGTGTAACAGAAATACCCAGCGTGATGGCGATCTACACATTCAGAGGCACTGTGCTTAGTGGAGAGTGTATGTGTGTGTTGCCAAGGTAACGACGACGAGGAACGGGATCGTTAGTTTTTGGTGGTGTAGAATAATGAAACCATGTGCTGGTCTGTTCAAATTAATGTTAAGAAGTCTCAGGGCAAGAGTTGAAGGGAAAGTTTCTTGGTGGTAAAGCGCTTTGCTTCCGAAAAAGAGGGTCCCGGTTCGAATCCTGTTGAACACTGGTATTTTTAATTTCGGGATCATTATGGCGTCAATGAGTCCACCCAGCTCTAATGCGTACCCGAAATAAGTTGCGGAATAGAAAAGACGTTTGGTCGTTGTGCTGGCCACATGGCACACTCGTTAACCGTGGGCCACAATAACAAATGGCCTTTAAATCATCTGCCCTATAGAATGGTCTGAAAGGGGAAATTTGCTTTACTTTCAATTTGTATACTACTAGATTTGTATACCAGGTTGAATCTGAAAACATTATTAATAAAATTAATATTAAATTTAGTTTTAAGAAAAATGTTTTCTCAAGCTTTTTAAAGTTAGTTCGTTTAAATATAATACGCCTACATCGGTTTAGTTGTACTAGCTGGGTTGTACTAGCTGAGTGGAGCTACAAACTAACGTGGTCAAAAGGCTAAGTACGTTTAAACTTGGCTTGGCTTGGCTACCAATGCAGGGGGGCTCGAGGCTCGACACCAGTTGACTGAGGGCCTGGAGGCAGCAGGGAAAAAACCTTCTCCCCCTCCCCCCCCCCCCCCCACCGGTCCACAAATGAGATTGGACCAAAGCGCTCTGAACATGCTATAAGTATGAAAGTAGTGCTATATAAAAGCTATAATTTATTTATTTATCAACCAACATATATCCCACTTCTGACACCATATTATGAGCATGTTGTAAGGGGACTCTGGGGTTGAGTCCTTTACTACATACATATGGCTCGATAATCTAGGGTATGATTCCCACATGCAGACCTTAACATGTGTAAATATTACAAAGTATCACTCAACGAAGGAGTATAAAATTAGTATTTATTTACAGCCAACAGCAAGTACACATATAATATTGAATGCGTAAATCATCAATACTGAAATACTAAAATGTGCCCAACTGACATACTACAGGGCGCTTAGACTAGATTCATTGAACAAAAGGCTATCAATGCCATACATAATATTACTCACAAATAGTCAGTTCTCATACATAACAATGAATAGAAATATAAGTTATATTATCTCCTTGCGCTAGGCATAAAACTGTTAAACAAAACACAAGCACCCTACTCGGACCAGTCAGCTCTCCAACTGCTAGACTGACCGCTAGAAACCTAATTGTCCCCCCCTTGAAAATCCCGTGATAAAAACAATTCACACACCAACCAACAAAATAAACAAAACACACACACAATCTCACATCTTACACACCCCCACTCTTGACACATGTTCTGTCCCTAACGGTGTGCTATTCATTTCCTACAAATTGTTGGCTTAATGTGTCTTCTGGGAAAGAGTTGAGAACCGTTAAAATGTGAGATTTGAGAATAACGAGAGATAACTGTCACTGTTTTCTAGGGGCTGATTTGTATCGAGAAGTTGTGTCCCTTTATGATTTCACCTTGATTCCGTGCCAAGTTAAAGCCCATTTCACCTGCTTTACTTCAGCCCCTAACACTCTAACATCCTGACAGGTAGATTCTACTATCCCGACAGGTATATTCTACTATCCCCACAGGTAGATTCTACTATCACCACAAGTATATTCTAAAAGTCCACTCTAGTAGATCTAAATCAGCGCCTATATGTGAGTAAAGAAGCAATTGAAACTTTGTACTTTTAGGAAGCTTACAAATGATTAGGTCAACAATGCATGACCAGTGTCCGTGTGTTAGACTCGACCTGCATGTTAATTAAAGACTTAATTTCTACTAAGTGATTACTTTTCCTGCCTGATTCAGGCTACCCGTTCTGTACTATTGAACAGCCTTTATCGTCTGTCTCATCCAATAATCTTTTTTTTTTTTTTTTTAAATGCGTGACTTGAGTTTTTTGTTGGGTTTTTTTCTTCTTTGTTGACGTTTATTGTTGTTGTTGTTTGTATCAGCAAACAATAATGACGTCAGGAAACTAAAACTGAAATTATAACATTTCCAGTAATTGGTGGAAATTTAAACTTATTTAATACAATGCTTATTATGGCTGCCTCTACTTAGAAGCCAAGAATGTATCATATTTTCTTGTTTATTATATATAGGCCTAGCTGCAAGGGAAGGTTTAGAATGTAATTACTTTGCATTTATATTTACACGTTTAAAATCCAAATGTATGTAATGAATGTTCATTAAAGCTAGCCCGTCTAGTGTTTTTCTTTTTTTTTTGTTTGTTTGTTTGTTTGGGGGAGAGATAGCACTGTGGCATACAGAACTGTGTGACTTTTGCACACGAGAAAAGGTTCTTTCTGGAGCTAGTAATAGGCTCCCTGCCATCAAGTCAGCAAGTGTATTCCACGCTGAAAACTCTCTCAGCTGAGCCTCGGCGCCAAATGCTTTCCTGCTTTCTGAGCTTCAGAAATTTATTTTCCTGTTGACTTGGGTTTTTTTTTAATTTTATCACTCGAAAGCGTCAACAAAACAATATGGCACAATAGAAAGAAAATGTACCATTTGAACAAAGAAAGTCAAATAGAATCGGGTTAGCGGAGACGTATACAAATGTCTTCTTCAAAAAAACAAAATGCTGAGTCATCTTGTTGGAAAATAACGCTATAAATCTACTTAGATTCTTAGAAGAGAAAAAAAAACAACGTCTCGTATCTATTTATGTTAATTTTAATAAAAAAAATGGGTAATAACGTGCGTTTGACTTTATTGACACTCAATTTATGACTTTAATGCCAATATAACGATGTTCGTCCCTCGAAAACATAAACGCTACGCCCCTCTTGACAGAATGTCACACAACTCGCAAATTTCGAAACGCTGCTTTAGTTTTTTTTGTTTGTTTTTTCAGATTGTTTGAATCTCTTTGTAGGCTATAATGCGACGTAATATGGTAATTAGCCTTGACGAAAACAAATTGTAAAGGAAAGTGACTCTCTAGGA